ATGTACACTGGTCATCAGCAGGAACAATTTCTTGGATGACTCAATTACTCTACATTCCTAATCACTCCTGAACTTGATCCTCTTCCTTTCATCTTGTTTCCTCTCCGATACCATGGAGAAGAACAGGCAATACCTCTTTCACATGGACTTTGTCTTGACTTGGTTTCCAAACAGACCAACCTCCTTCTCCCCATCTGAACTTTATGTCCTCATCTGAACTTTATGTCTTTAGCCTGCCATGGCCTCTTCCCTTCTCCATCTGAAATAGATAATTCAAGTAAAAGCATTCAGAAGATAGACCTCATCAATTTCAAATCTATTTCTTATCTAGACTATTTGTCTTCCCCTTTATCTTCTAGGTTTGGGATCTCATAAATTGAAGTTATCCTGGGCTGTCACAATTTCATATATTTTTATTATCTTTAAGTGAATGCAATTATTAAGTGAATTCATAATTGTAGCTTACTTTTTATTATTTATTTATATCCAATTCATTCCCTACCACACAAAGGATTTAAGTTGCCTTACAAAAATGTGTGGATTATAGAAAGAATAAATTTTAAGTAGGTAAGAAAAAGAAATTAAGAAGAAGCTTATAGTTTTTATATTATCATCACCATATCAAGTAATTAATGTTCACAATAGGAGACACTCAGTGATTCAACAAAGATGAAGAAGCAACTCCTAAAAGAGAAATCTATTGTATACAGATAAAGTGCTACACTGGAGCTTATTGATTTCTTTTTTTTTATTTTTTGTTTATTTTTATTTATTTTTTATTCTCCCCTTCCTTTCCCCACTATCAATTTCAATAAGCTCTTTTGTGGTTTCTTAGTGCAACATGGTATAGTGGAAAAACCCCCGACTTTGAAATCAGAGTCCCAACTTTGAATCTATGCATACTATGATGATAGTAATACCTGCCTCAAAGAATTATTGTGCAGAAAAATAATGCAATGAGTATAAGGGCCCAAACATAGTGCAGGCAAGTAGTTACATAATTTCTCCTATTAATTATTCTTTGATCACAGAAAAATAGAGCTAATTAAAATTTGAGTCATAAGAATGATAGAATTTTTGAGTAAGAAGAGAGCTTGTTGATGGTCCTATGTCCTATCCAGCAGGTCTCTGTGTGATTCTGTGTGCAGGACGATGGCCTGAGCACTTGGCTGAAAATGCAGATTCTAGGGCCTTAACTCCAGAGATTCTGATTCACTCGATTTAGGTCATAATCCAGAAATGGGTTTTTTTATTCGGTTGATTTTTCTTATTTTATTTTTTTTTAGAGATGGGGTCTTGCTCTGTCATTGAGGCTGGAGTGTGGTGGTGCAATCAGCTCACTGCAGCCTCTAACTCCCCAGCTCAAGTGATCCTCCCACCTCAGCCTCCTGAGTAGCTGGGACTACAGGTGCACAATACCATGCCCAGCTAATTGTTAATTTTTTTGTAGAGACAAGGTCTCCCTATATTGCCCAGGCTGATCTCAAACTCCTGGCTGGTATTATAGGTATAAGCCACCATGCCTGGCCCAGAAATTTTAAAAAGTAGCCAGGTCATTCTGATCCAGGTGATCCAAGAACAATACATTAAGAAAAACTGCATTCAAGCCAAACTCTATACAGAGGGACAAAGCAGTTGACTTAATTGCCTAACACACCACAGCTGGCAGATTGAAACTAGACCTGAAGTGCCTGACTCCATGGCCTTTCCTCTAGGCTGCATTGCTTCCACATGTTTAGGAAAATACAACTCAACAGTAAGTCTATTTCATCTAATCATTTTTGTGCAAAGAATTGCCGTTGGCCTAGTGTCCTGGCTCACACCTGTAGTCCCAGCTGCTGGGGAGGCTGAGGTGGGAGGATCACTTGAGCTGGGAAGTTAGAGGCTGCAGTGAGCTAATTGCACCTCTGCACTCCAACCTGGGTGACACAGTGAGACCCTGTCTCTAAAAATTCAAGCTTACTGGCCAGACCCAACACTAGAAAGTGACCCAATTCCCATCCTCAACACCTAATGACCACAAGGACATGATTTTTGGATTGCTAGAGCATGACCTGTCCTTGAAAAAGGCAGTTTGCTTTGCATGCTGAGTGATCTTTGCCCTGGGTAACCTAAGCAATCCTTCCTGGAGGCCTAGTCCACTGTATATAGAAGTTGCTGATAATCAGGGACTATCCACAAGAAAACCAAAGTGGGCAAGGTGTTTTTTGAGGGCCTCTCACCTACCTTTCAGTCCCTTTTTTGCTCCTTAGAGAATCCTACTTTCTCTAAGTGCATCCCAGCCAATTAATCAAAGTTCCACGTTTGATTTAATATTTCATTAAAGAAAAATCCAAAAAGCTTCACTAAGTAAAGACAAAGGGATACATCATGATTTGAAAAGTTTAGCAGACATGCTATTAAAATCCATACTACTAGAAATGTTATGAAATTCATCAAGAATTCAGAATTTATCTTCTAAAATTTAAGCCTCTGTTGATATTGAGTAAGCCTGATGTCATTTTAGCAGATCCGTAAAACAAACAAACAAAGAAACAAACAAAACAAATCAATCTATCCTTGAAGTTAGAACATTGAAATGAAAAAATAAAAAAGCTTTGTGGTACAAAGTTATGCTTGTAAGAATGGCATCTATCATAGCAACATCACTTTTCCAAGCCCCCAGATATTTTCATGTTTGGGCTTTAACAAATGAAATCACTCATCTACTGTCAGAGGAGAAGAAACAGAGACCATTACTCTGAAACTGAAATATAGATCAGCTAGCTAATTTTTCATTTTCCAGAATAGGAAATTAAAAAGAAAAGGTCAGCTAGCTACCTGCCCCCATCAACATTAATCACTCATATCTGATTAGATGTAACTCACAGGAATGGAATATGGACTCTGAAACATCCTGCCACCCTGTCAGTCCCTACTTTAAGGTGTCTCAGGCTAGCCTTACATGTCCCAAGATATAACCCTGGAAATGCAGACAAATAGATAAATCCAGATATATCTAGGTAATCAAGAGCTGGATTAAATTAAATGCCATACATATTTTTTTTAGCCCTCTTCACACTTTATTTCTCTTATTTCAGCTTCTCACGGGTAATCATAAGGACTCTTTTTTTTTTTTTTTTGAGACAGAGTCTCATTCTGTGGCCCTGGCTAGAGTGAGTGCCATGGCGTCAGCCTAGCTCACAGCAACCTCAAACTCCTGGGCTCAAGTGATCCTTCTGCCTCAGCCTCCCGAGTAGCTGGGACTACAGGCACACGCCACCGTGCCCGGCTAATTTTTTCTATATAGTTTTAGTTGTCCAATTAATTTCTTTCTATTTTTAGTAGAGACGGGGTCTCGCTCCTGCTCAGGCTGGTCTCGAACTCCTGAGCTCAGACAATCCGCCCACCTCGGCCTCCCAGAGTGCTAGGATTACAGGCGTGAGCCACGGCGCCCGGCCCTTAAGGACTCTTAAAGCCATCCTTTCAAAGATGAACAGAAACGACATAGCACTCAGTTTAATGAATGCTTTAGATAAGGAGAGAGATGATATTGGAAAAAAATAGTTTCCTTTTTTGAAGTGTCATTTTGTTTTTGATCAGTGAAGATTGTGACATTACCATAAAATAAAATTTTGTTTGATTATAAAAATAATATATGAAAAATGTAATATGGCTGAGCACAGTGGCTCATGTCTATAATCCCAGGACTTTGGGAGGGCAAGGCAGGAGGATCACTTGAGGCCAGGAGTTTGAGACCAGCTTGGGCAACATAAGACCCTGTCTCTACAAAAAATTTAAAAATTAAGTCGGCATGGTGGCATATACCTGTAGTCCCCACTACTCGGGAGGATGGCTTGAGCCCAGGAGTTCGAGACTAGCCTGAGCAACATAGCGAGACTCCATCTCTACAAAAAAATGGAAAAATTAGCCAAGTGTGCTCACACACACCTGTAGTCCTAGCTACTCAGGAGGCTGAGGCAGGAGGATAGTGAGCTATGATGATGCCAATCCACTCCAGTCAGGGCAACAAAGCAAGACCCTGTCCCTAAATAAATAAATAAATAAATAATCTTTCTCAAAAAATGTACGTAAAAAAGAATGCAATTTGCTTGACTGTGTATTTAAATAACCAAAACAAACTAATTTATTGTTTACTCCTCAATTTGTAGTTAATAAAAAGCAGTTTCAGACTTTTATTTAAAAAAATCATAACCATCCCTAAGTTGAAGTAAAAGAAGAAAGGAAAATTTTCTCATCTAAATATAAAATACCAGTTTGTCGGAAGCTTATTAAAGCATGAAGATTTCGGAAGGAAATATGCCAAAATGTTAATTGTAGTTATCATTTAGTAGGAGGACTACAGCTCATTTTTTCTTATTATCCGTATTTTCTAAAATGATACTTGTGACAGAATAAAAAGTTGGGGGTTTTTTTTAGATGGTTTTTATTAGATTGTACTTAATGCTCAAAAAAACTGAGGAGCTAACCAGAGGAGTCACTGAAGATTGCTCAATTCTCCCCAGCAACTTGATTACAGAAAGCCAGTAGTTGAGAGCAGCTCACTTTCCTGGAAGACCTAACTGCAAACTTCCACATACCTGAATCAAGGACTCCCACAGCGGCTCGGAGACTCAGCTAGGGAGTCTCACATTGCAAGTCCAGTTCATGGACCAACACGTATTCTCTCAAATGTTCTGTGAAGGTGTGGCTGTGGGAGCATAAACTGAGCAGAGCAGCCATGGTGTCACAGGACGAATTCCTAGTCCCCTTCTAGGCCTCTAGGCATCAAAGACATGGCCCCTTCCCCTCATGTGCTCAAGACAACTTCAGGGATGTTTGGGCAGAAACCTCACCTAGACCACCATGTTCTTGACAGCTTTCCAGCAGGTGAGCATATGAAGCTCATACCCGTCCTTATTTACGTATTTATTTGTTTATTTGTTTATTAGATGGTGGGGGAGATTCTGATTAGGGCAGTCTGTGACTGAACTAAATTTTAACATGTTCATGTTAAGTAAATGATCTGGCTACTAATTCATAACACGAATTTCTTATGAAAGATAAAAATCAAGAACTGAAGAATATTTCCCAGAAAAAGAATAGGGGTGATTTTATCACATTTATTCTTTCTTTTTCTCTTTTACACACACACATACACACAGCTTGGGACATATACCCCAAACTGCCAAGGAATCTCAGTTTGTGGTGTAATTTTTTTTGGTTAAAGATATTATGTGTTTCAAGGCACAATCTGCTCCAAAACATGCCATCTTGAGAGACATACCAAATAGTTGGCAACTGTGATCTGGAGTGGATGGGCAGGGATTGCCAAAAGCCTCCACTTTCCATATTATGTATTTCTTATAGTGTTTGAAAATATTTAGTGAGCCTGTATTTCTACTTCTGTGAGCAGAAAGCATAACAGAAAGAAATTTTAGAAACAAAAAGCAGCATGCCACATCTCTTGGCAGTGGACCATGTATTACCTACATTAGCTTCATCTGGACTTTCTTGTGATAGCCCTGTCTGCCTGTGAGAATCTCCAACCCTCAATCTCCAAGCGGCTGGGAGGGTCCCTGAGCAGGTTTGGCAGCTCCTTACCGATGCTCTGAATGAGTAGGAAATCATGCATGGAGATATAAAGCTGGGGAAAAGTAGAAGCCTCCAGGCTTCCTTTTCTTGTGACTTCTTCCATTGGGTTTGTCAGACTGTCTTCACCGTCAGAATGAGCAGTTTCCCTAAAGGTCCTTGCGTACCTTCTCAGCCCCATGCACCTTTTGTTTATGGTTGATTCCCCAGGCCCCTCAGCAAATGGCCACAGAGCTTTAATCTAGTATTGACTGTCACGACCAACAAACCACATGCTTAGTCAAAGACGTGTCTTAGAACTAAGCTGTTAGGTAGAGCCCTCAACATGCGTGAAGGAAGAATATTGGAAATGAGGTGCGGAGTTTTTGTGCTCTTCGGCATGCAAATTGTTCAGCACGGTGCACGTTGCCAAGGTGCCAAGAGCCTATTTTCTGTGATACCCAAAAGAATAATACACTGTATTCAAGGAAGCCTGTCAAATGTTCAGCCCTGTGTTGGGTGACATCAGGGACACAACAGATGTAAAATTCATGAGCCCTGCTCTTGAAGAGCCCAAAATATATAGTTAGTAACTGAGATCTCTGTTATAAAGAGGCAAGGTAATATTTCTCTCTGTCTCTTTCTCCCTCTCTCTCTCTCTCTCTCTCTCTCTCTCTGTGTGTGTATGCGTGTGTATAAAGGTACCAATTCCTTACTACACAGACTGAACAGGACCAGCTAATCACCAGTCTGCCACATACACAGCTCCTTAAAGTCATTCTTCATTTCTTTACCAAGTCAAGTACTGCCGCTCAAGTTCTCACTTTCTGTGGCCCTCTGGCTTTGGCACTCTCCTCATCCCCAGCCACACTTCCTGCCTCTGTGGAGACACATGAACAGAAGGCAAGCATTACAATGCTCCAGTCCAATGCCCATGAGGGCTGCTTTCACACAACGTAGCTTATCCCAGTTGCTTCAAAAATCTTCTCTGCTATCCTTGTTCTGTAACCCTTCTTCCATGCATTACTCCTGTGTCAACCACTCCTAGAATATTGGCCCCTGAGAAGTTCCTGCTTTCTTTCCCAGCCAAACACACTTGAGGAAGGAAGCCCTAATCATTCTGCCAAAACACTTCTATTGAGGCAGAATGAACTCCCAGTGGAGTCATGGAAACTCACGCAAAAGCCATTGCCAATCAAGTTGCTGCCAGCCAACTTGAAGAAGAGACTGCTGGTTCCTCTACCTCCTTCACATCCTATGTTAAACAGTGTCCTGCTCACAGCTTACAATGTCCCCATTGTCTTGGTGGCACCATTTCAAGAGACTTAAATAGCTTCCTCCTTTGACCAGCATTTGTGGGCTTATGACTTTCCCTGCCAAAACACAAGGGCCACCTGCAAATGGTAGTTCTTCTGGCCTGTGTAAATTCCTAGAACCCCTAGGCTGGCCACATAATTACAAGCTGCAAAGCATTAATAAGGACAATGAAAAGTAGAGATGGAGAATGGGAGAGGACAAATTATTAAACAAAGCACAACAACAACAACAAAAACACCTTGAAATCTGCATAAAAACTAAATAGTTGGGTTCATTGTACATGCCTGTAGTCCCAGCTGCTGGGGAGGCTGAGGTGGGAG